AGAATGGGCTGTTCGGTGGGGGAGGGGGAGGAGAATCAAAGCTGTCCAGGTCTATTGAGCATCACTGGTACAAGAGGGTAGCTGGAAGGTTTGTTAAATCCATTATTTGGCCTGCATACTCTCGCTTTAGGCACAGTACTGGAAATCTTCGAGACAGGAATGGGAAGGTCTCCTCTCTCGCTGGCTTGGGACTGGGGGAGAAGCCAGCTGCTATCATTCATGAGGGAGGCCCGAGAGAATGGAGACTAATGATAGACACACACTAGACTCACCGGCAAATTATGGCTATTAGGCCACAAGCGTGCACAACTACTGTCACTGTCAACTCTTCAGGACTGGATGCTGGTCGTTCGGTGCCGAGCGTGACGGGGCCTGATTCAAGACTCGGGTCCCTCCACCCCACAAAGAGCTTCCTGACCTAGCTGGGAGACCTCAGGGTGAGGACACCCGTCATTCCCTCCTCCACCAGAAAGGAAGTTGATTTTGCTCCAGCCCCCTCTGCACAGAAACGCGGAGGGTTGTGCTCTGGTGAATATCAGCTAGTACGAGATAGGGCTGATGGAAATGCCATGGAAATTCTTTCATCCTCAAGGGTCCCCCCCAAAAAAAACCCCACTTTCCCAACAGGCTTTTGAGGCCAGGCTACACTACAGGGGAAGTCAAATCAAGATACACAACTCCAGCTATGTTAGTTACGTAGCTGTAGTCAATGTACCTGGGGTCTGTTTTTCTCGCTGTAGTCCTGGTGGCTTCCTTTACTCCTCGCAAGAGTATTAGCGGCTGACAGCGGTGCCCTCTGAGTTTGATTTAACAGGTCTAAATTAGACCTGCTAAATCAAACTCTGGAAGATCAATCATGGCAGCGTTGTTTAGTGAAGACGTGGCCTAAGTTATGCACTAAGTTATTGACCAGTGCAGAGCCACGCTGTGTAGCAATCTATGCAGGATCAAAGAACACGGCCTTCAGCCTACAGCGGGGAACAGTTATCAGAGCTGGAATTTGGCCAAGACGCCAAGGTTACTTGCCCCCATCCCACTCTTGAAAAATCCTGTGGCATTATCCCATCCCATACAGTCAGATCCTCAGTTTGCCATGTTATCCAACAAGACAGCACCGTATCCCTCCCCCCCACCACAACCCTTAACTCCTAGAGGTGACAATGAAGAGCAGTGCCCCCCCATGCACAGTCCCTGCCCCCCAACAGTTTACAACTCAAAGAGACAGTGAGAGAAATGGAGAATCACCACTAGAGCCCTGCAAATCCACGGATACCTGCAGCACATTTTTGCAGCTATAGCTATGTCTGCACAGGGCTCAAATTATCACCATTTCACAGGTGGGGAAATGGAGGCACAGAGGAGTAAAGGACATGCCCTAGCCTGTGGCAGGGCTAGGAACTGAACCCAACCTTCCCAAGTCCCAGTATAGTGTCTTCTGATCTGACCACGGCAGGACAGGTGAACAGGAAGGTCAGTTAAGCTTCAAGAAAAGATACAAAGAGCAGATGACTTGAGAGACTGTTTGAGAATGGGAGGAATTGGGGAGGGAAATCGGGGGGTGTGAAGGAATCCCCAGGTGGCTGGCACCTCACAAGTTTTAATATTCACTTTGTAGTTTGTGCTAGAGCCTGGCTGAAATTAACCAAATTGGGTATTTAATTATTGAAGTGGCTAGAAGCCTATTTCCTTGCTAATCAAAGGAAGTGGTTCACTGCAAGTGAAAACGCAAAAAAGAAGCAGTTTCGCAGAAAACAGGTCACTGGCCTAGTCGCTTTTTAATGAGGCGGCGCCTCCCCCAGCCACACCCCCTACAAACGAATCCTGGGCCATTATTAGCATCCTCTCTTCTAGGAGAGTACGCCCTAGCCACTCATGTTTCCCCTCCTCCCTCCATTTTCCCCCATCAAAAGGCTGGCAGGGTCCATGTAAGTCACCCTGCAGGAATGTGGGAATCTTTGCCGAGTGTTTAAGATAAGCAAAAGGAAGCGGCACTTCAGGGTAAGGATTAGCAGGAGGCAAGTCAGGGCTGGCTCCAGGATTTCCGGTAGGCACCTCACAGCCCTGCTAGAGGGCCAGGCAGGGAAAGACGCACCAGCAAAACTCAGTGGCTTAGCGACCAGGCCAGCAGCTTTCATACTAGACTGGAAACAGACATGGAGTGCTCTGTGGCCTATTTGTCATGGAATTTTAGAGCCCTCCAGCCTGGGGCTCCGCCAGATACCACAGGCAGGTCACTGTCCTCCCCCCAACACCACTTCCAACTAGCTGGGGTGCGGGAGGGAGAGAGGCAGGGGCAGGTTACGACTGGTCAGCACCACCTTATTCTCAGGAGCAGAGAGAAATCCCAACACATCTCTCCTGTTGTGGGTGCCCCCTCTCCTCTCTACACAGACAAGTCAGTGTGTCTACACCAGCAGCCCCCAAACTTTGGCAGGTCATACCCCCCTTTGCCCTCTTGATCCAGGAGCAGGACCATGGGTTGAGGGGGAGGAGGGAGGCAGATGGAGATAAAAGCTGGGGCTGGGCTGCCTTGGGGGGCCAGCAGCCAGGCCTCTCCCAGCCTCACCCCCAGACTGTGAATAGAGCTATGACCTGGGGCCTAGAGGCAGCCCTGTGGCTGGGGAACCAGAGCAGAGTACAACTGTGATTGTAGCGGGGTTAGGTGATGCTCCCTTCTCTGCCCCTGTGGGGACTAGCCCGGATGCTTCTGCGCCCACCCCAAACAATCCTCCATGCCCCCTCGGGCAGGGGAGTATGTACACCCTGCATTTGCCGACCACTGGTCTACACCAACACTGCCTCCCATACTGGCTGGAATCAGAATGCAATGGTGTGTCATGGGCCCCGCACTGTTCTCTTGGAGAGTCTCTCAGTGCAAGTGGCAGGAACCAGGGGGGTTTCAGAGCACGAGGATTAGCGTGCTACCCCCGCTGCTGCTTAATGGCAACCAGTGGCCCTGCTGTAACAGCCAACAGTCTTAGGGAGCTGCTGCTGTGTTCAGCCACATTTAGAGGAATGTAAATGAATGCGCTTAAGTGTCTGGCTTTGTTTAGCAAGGCGTCTAGCCAGTAAGTTTGTTTTACAGACCTGGCACCTAAAATGTGCCTTGGATTATAATGTTCTTCTGCAGTGAGATAAGACAGCAGTCGACAGGGCTCTGGAAGCAGGATGACAAGACTGCAAAACTCTAGGCAACAACTCACAGCAGCAACCACATCCTCAATGGAGAGTCCAAGACCAAACGCCGCTCTCAGGAACAGCACCGAAAGCAGCACCAGAACAGCCTCCGCAGGGATTAAGCTTTGACCCCAGCACCAGAAGCTCTGGCCTCTGCTACTTGAGCCAACATAACTGTTAGCAGTAGTAGGCTCCTATGCCCTGTGAATGAACCACTAGAGGGGGCTGCAATACACAGGTAGGTCTACACTAGACCTGGAAGGTTGGCGTAAGGTACGCAAGGCTACGGAGCTGGAACCAGCTTACCTTAAAGCCAAACTTGGCAGCATCCCCACAGTAGGGGTCTGCCTGGAGCAAAGGTTCCTGGTGGCTTCCCTTACGCCTCACAACTGCAAGGAGAGGTGGCACTGGCCAAAGCTGCCCTCAGCATTCGATTTAACGGGTCTATGCTAGACCTGCTAAATCAAGTGCCAGAACATCGATCTCCAGCACAGCGGTGCCCTTAGCCAATGTCATAAGAGTTCTTGGTGCTTCAAAGCACCTACCAACCGACCGGAGTGACAACAGGAGTGAAGAGATCGGTTCCCATTAACAACGCCCATTATCTAGAGTTGCACTTACACTGCACCCCCCCAGATGGCCAGCAAGTAAACACGTCTCAGTGCTCAACAGCAGTGAGCCTGCCTTGACAACACAAACAGGGGGAACTGCCTGCTGGCAGGAAACAGGAAAGAACCACTCCATTTCCGGCCTCCCCCAATTTCCCCTCAGAGAGCAGCTTGGCTTTGGCTGTCCACTCAAGAATGGGATCTTGGTGGGGGGATGCGACTGTTCTAAGAAGTAGGGTTGAAACGTCTCACAAGCCTGGGAAAAAGCACCTCTGCCTTGACAACACAAACAGGGGGAACTGCCTGCTGGCAGGAAACAGGAAAGAACCACTCCATTTCCGGCCTCCCCCAATTTCCCCTCAGAGAGCAGCTTGGCTTTGGCTGTCCACTCAAGAATGGGATCTTGGTGGGGGGATGCGACTGTTCTAAGAAGTAGGGTTGAAACGTCTCACAAGCCTGGGAAAAAGCACCTCAGGCAAGCGGTTGTCAAGAGGGGCACCTTAGAAGGTCCTGCCTGGTTTTTAATGGCACAAGACCCCCTGTGACTTTAGGCCAGTGAGCACTTCAAGGGGAGGGGACCAGCCTGAAAGATTTTAGTGGACTGAGCAGAGCATGGAGCTCGAAACAAGACCCATTTGAAAGGCCAACATCTCTTTTCCAGCCTGACCCCGGCGGCCACAGGACCGGCGCCACATGCTCTGGGCCTCTGCTATTCTTTGGTCTCAGGTGAGCATCCTCCATGGTTTCATTGTGCTCCCAGGGCGCTGCGATACTGGTTCAAGCCACTACGGGCCCTCTTTTCAGAGGGTCGTTTTAGGCTCTCAGGACGCCACAGTGTGGGTACAGAAGAACGGCCCTGCTGGGTCAGACCGTCTGGCGCAGTGTCCCGGCTTGTGAGAAGCACGGGGCTCCTCAGGAGGAGCAGTGGGGAAATGGAGTAAGAGGTGGCTTAGTCATTCACTGAGTACTGCTGGAATTCCATGCTCTGCTCCAGTCACCGGCATGCTCTCCTGCCAGAGTTCTAGCCTCGCGCTCCCCTTCCAGCCACTCAGCTACCCTGCCTGGTAGCTGAGCAAGTGCATGGCTCTAACCGGGAGATGCTGCACCAGCCCAACCTCCATGCTGCGCCCCTCACAACCTTTCCATCCAGCCAAAGCCCCTGTCGAGCCAGGGGGAGAGCTGGCCTTGTCCCCTGAGCCAGCCTAAAAAGGACCAAGGCGAGCAGAGGTGGGAACACAGTTTCATCCAACTCCCAGCAGCCACAGGAGTCCAAGGCAAAGAAGCCACCACAGACCACCAGAGCCCTCTCCTTGCCAGCATCCAGGAGTTTTAAGAGCTCCCAAGCAGGGAGACTACCTTTAGGGGCCACTACAGCCTGGCTCTTCTAAGCAGTTTACCAGCAGGTCTGAGTGCTTTACAGAACACAGGCAAGTAACTCCTAGAACTTGAGGGTCCAGATCAGTGTCCCCTGTAAGCTCAGATTCCAGCGCCCCCCAGCAGATTAGCAGTATACTCACAGCTAGTTTTGTGTTTCTCCTGGTCGTGCGCAGTCCCACATGCCTGGGTGCACATAACATTATTCCGCACATGGATGGAAATGATTAGATTAGTGGGAACATTGGTAGACATGCTCTTATTTTAATTCCTTCTGGAGGAGTCCTGCAGTGAATAGGACAGGACAAGACAGCCCAGGGGAAAAAAAAACCCAAAGGCAAAGAGTAATTCTGAGCCCTGGATGATGCCAGCTGCAGTCTACACTAACAAGCCCTGCCCAGCTTGGAAGTTTATTACGTTAACACGCACAAGAGAAGCAGCCTGACTCCACGGCCAAGGAGTCAGCCCATCAAAACCATGCACCTCTGTGGCAGAGGGTGTTTTAAAACAGCGGCTGGGTCATTAACTGAAGGAGACTTCCAAGCTGCTGCTGCACACACTCATACTGGCGGGGTGAGGTGGAAAGAGAAAAACGTCTTTGCAGATCAGCTGCCTCCCACACAAGATTAAAGTTGCCATGAAATTTCTTACTGAAATCAAATCTCCATGTTGCTGCAGCAAGGAAGCAAAACAGGCTCCCCTTGGGCCAGCAGCAGGGACTGAACCTTAGCCCACGCAGTAAAGGTTTAAGTAGCAACTCCTCCGGTGGGCAGCTGAGATACACTCAGCCTCTCCCCGGAACCAGCCAGCCTCAAGAAACAGATCTCCGATTAGCAGAGCCGTGCAGCTATTTTTTAGTTTCTCCTGGTGGTGCACATTCACATGTGCCTCAGTGCATGTAAAAAATTATTCCACACGTGGATGGAAAAAAGATTAGCAGGGACATTGATCTCACCCATAAAACTAGACCTCAAAGCCCTTCTTCTCACTCCCCCCTGGGCTCCAGGATCCAGCAACCTGAATGAAGGGAAGCTGCCACCAGGATTTCACAGTAGAAGTTTCCTCTCCCTGTTTACTGCCCTTTCACAGCTGCTGGCTAACTTTCTCACCCTCTTGAGGCGGAGGTGGAGATACTGTTCTCATTCTCTTTAACCCAAAACAGAGCCAAGAGGGAAGAGGGGGAGGAAGACCAGCTTGAAGAAAAACACACATCCAAGCCCTTCCAGTCCCCTCCTTCCTGCCCCCACACACAATGAGAGGCCAGGGAGGGATTAGAAAAGAGAAACGGGTCCAGAGACGGGGGAGTTCTGCAAAGAGCAGATCATGGGAAATGCCCACAGCTCAAATACACTCAACAGTAGCCTCATGCCAGCAGTTTGCTTGCTAAAAACAGTCCACTCTGCACTCCTTGCAGGCTCTTAAAGGAGACTGAAAAGCAGATTTTGCACGGGCAGGCTTACAAGGACAAAACCTCTCAGTATTAAGGCGCGGGAGAGGAAGGAATAAAAGTGAACAGGAAGAGACAATGAGGCTTTAAGAGATACTTTCAACCCAATCTAGCCTCAGAACAGCTCCCAAGTCAACCAGAAGCCTTTCTGGGCAATACGGAGCAAGGATGGTTTGGAGTCTCTACGGGAGAGCAGTTTGCTCTCCAAATTAAGGATGTTAAGTATCAGGTAATTGACTAATCGATACTTTTTACATCGACTATTCAATAGGGGGCCTCTGCCTTTGAAGTGTGGCAACAACACTAGGGCTGTTGCCACACTTCAAAGGCGAAAGCACCAAAGCCTGGGGTCAGCTGGGGACTCCCCTGCTGACCCCAGGCTCCGTGCAGCTCTGTGCGGCACTATTGCTTTGAGCCCAGCACTCAGCTGATCCCGGGCTCCATGCGGTGCTGCCACTTTGAAATGCCGCATTCAAAGCCGCAGTGCCCCTCAGAGCAGCTGACCCCGGGCTCCCTGCGGCGCTGCTGCTTTGAAGTATCCCCCCTCTTTGCTGCCTCTGTCTGATAGAGGCAGCGAGGTGTGAGGGGGAGCAACTAGTCAACTCTCCCATCAACTATCCAATAAGCATTTACTTATCGGATAGTCAACTAGTCCTTCACATCTCTACACCAACCAGAATCAGAGCAACTGCAGCCAAGGCTGGTGAGCAAATGCCAGCCACCCTCACTTGGAAGGTAAGACAAGGCTGCCCTGCACCAGGAAGTGGCCGTGGCAAGGCCCCGAAGCAGAGGATTGGTCATCAGGACTCAGATTTGATTCCAAGCTCTGCTACTCACAGAGCATCACAAACTTCCGGAGTTCCCTCTCATGACCCCGCCTCTACGTGGGGTGTCGTCCCATCTTGCAAAGCTACGCTCAAGCATCGTTCATTTGTGAAGACACCCGCAAGCCTGATGCAAAAGACACTGACAAGCGGGTGCAGGAGATGAGAATGGATCAGGGAAGAGGCGGGAGAAGAAAGGAACAGGCGATGGTAACACGGTTAAACAAGAGGCAGGAAGGTGCGGGCTGACCGCATGCACTGCTGACCGTTTCATTACATACTGTACTTGCAAAGTCGGCATACATGATTTGCCCCAAAGTCCACCCACATCCCCATCACAATGCAGCAATTGCCCTGGAGTCAATGCAATTGACAATTGTTAATAGCAGTGCTGGACGCACATTAGCCAGGGCCCCAGAAGGCTTGAACATATCCTGCCCCTGTGGGCAGGTGGTGAAGGCCCAGCTAGGGAAGGCAAGGTCCAGCCCTGGCCTGAGACCCTCCCCCTCAGCAACCCCCCCACCCTGTGGAGCCAAGCCCTGCCCAATCCCAGCCCTGAAGCCTGATTCTTCCTAGCTAGCAAGCCAGACTATGGCCCCAGTCGTCCTGGGTGGCCAGGAACCATAGGCAGTTCCGGGAAGGCAATGCCTTCTCTTGCCTATGTTACACCCCGCCTCCAGCCTGCCTCTCACAGACAGCTCAGTGTGGAGACAGCACACAGACTGTACACAAACTCTTGTCTTAAACCATAGCTGTGGGCAAAGTGAAATCCAGAGACACCCCCGGGAAAGATCTCCAGGAATCAATCAGCTGTTGCACATTTTTGAGTGTGTGGGGGGGGGGGGAGGGTGGAGAGAGAAGAGAGATCATTGCACCTAGCCCCCTGGCCAAGAAAGTCTGCTGGATCTGGCCTTTCGAAACACAACACACCTGAAAGCCTCAGCAATGAGTCCTACTTCTACCTACCCGGTCCTTGGTTAGCTAACAAGATCAAAGACATTAATATAGCGAAGCCAAGGGCTTATCAGACATGCCCCACGAGAGCTCATCCAGATCCCATGAGGTATAAGAGAAAAAACCCTGATTCCCACCCTAAAGTTGGTGTATAGTTATAAGTAGTAGGCCCTTACTTCCCATTCTGTTTAGGAAGTAACAACATCAAATGTCCTTGTACCTGCACTGACGTAGCCACCCCATTTGTCAAGGCCTCTTCCCTCAAAAAGGGAGGCAAGTCATAGGGCCAAACCCTGAAGCCAGTACTTAGAAAGAGCACCTAAAAAGATTCACGGAGGCACCACACTTCCGAACATTTTCCTGAAAAACTCGCCCGGAGAGCCCAGCGGTCTAACAAGAACCGAGCAGAATGTTTTGGATGAGGTGAAGTATTGCGCTGCAGGGCTGTTGATTGAGAAAATGTCTGTCAGGAAGGGTTTTGAGGCCCCAGGCCCTCTGCAGAGAAGTGAGGTGAGAGGCAGACTTATCTAAAAGGTCTGGTGTTTGATCTGAAGACTGACAATACTGTTTCACAACAAGTGTGCTTGGATGCTGGTCACATTCTGTTCCATGGCAGAAAAAAAAAATAGAAACCTTGAAGAGTTGCTATGGAACAGAGTTGTTGCCCTGTGGACCACGCTAGATTTAAGCCTATCCTAGGGACATCCTGGGAGAAGAGCCGATCTATGTGACCACTGAGGCTCAGCATGAATTTATAGCTGTAGAAAAATGTGGGAGGAGTTGTGTGTGGACTCCAAAGTCCTATCACAGCATTCCCAACCCAAGCCAGGCAGCTCTGATGTTACAAGTGCAACTGAACATCTTGCAGGCCCAAAGGGACTCCAGACTTGGGTTGAGTTTGGGCACAATCCCTGGTTTATCCACACCCATTTGTCCCAGGCCATAAGCTAGTGACTTTACAGCACAGAGTGTATTCCAGATGTGGCCTGAGGTTCAGACACGGACAGAAGAAAAGCAAGTCAGCCAGGTAAAAGATGACTGATGGATTTCCCCTTTCCCCAGGCAAAGGGCATGTGGGGTGGTGCACCTCAAACTGCGGCCAAGTCCGCTGAAGACAAAGATCACCAACTGCCATGTCATCCTGCACATCTGTGCTTGGCCTTGACAGATGTTTGCTCCTGGCTGAGACAAGTGCTGCCAGTCAGCTGGCTTTTGTCCTTTCCCAGCACCACACTCAGGAGCCAGGCCACTACTGCTGACTCAGCCCTACCCTGTGTTGAAATGCTCTCCCTAGCCTTCTTGCAAGTCCCATCTTTGTGCCTGGTCACCCCAACCCAGCCCACTGTCCCAGCTCCCCAAAGCAGCTAGCCAGGACCGCACCTCCATACAGCAATGGCTCCCCTGGGAGCCATCAGGAAGAGTCTCTTAATTAAAGGAAACAAGCTGTTCAGCCAATTAAACTTCCTAGAAAACCGAAGTCTAAGACAGCTGCCACCTGGCCTAAAGAAAAGATCTTCCGCGAACAGGACTTGTACAGATCACAGCTACATGCAAAAGAAGGTCAGGAAGCATAAGCAGACTCAGGCTTTAGTGCCTTTAACACACAGGAAGTGGGTTTTCTACGTGCAGTCGGGAGAGCTGCAATTGTGATCTTAACTTAATTTTTCAGGGTTTATACTTTTAGTCCAGCTCAATGAAGGTCACCCACCCAGCTAGTCTGACCCTCAAGGGAAAACACATGACATCAAAACTCAGCGGGCCCGTCCTTGAAAGCTCCTCTATGCATTTGGATGTCCAGGTTCACTAAGCACTTCCCAGAAGGAAGTCACCAAAAAATAGCCACTGGCCCATTGTACCCAGTTACTCCTAATGACGGAAGGAGACTTGACATTTTACTCGCCTGGGAACGGAAGCAACAGCTGGGAAAGGTTTCACTGTGGGCATTAGGTCAAATTGTTCCAACTTCAATCATGGATTTGAACTCTTCTTCAGGAAAGGGAGCACACCAACCCAGAGAGCCCATGTTAAACCCTGCTCCGGACTGTGGGGCGAGACACACGCTTTGCTGCTAATCAATCCCTCCACAGTGTCGAGTTGCTAGACAGGATCAGACCCAAGGTCCCTCTAGCCCAGTGTCCTGTCTCCAGAAGTGTCCAGCAACAGTTGCTCCTCAGGAAAGTTAAAGAACGCTACACCTTGCAGATTGGGGGCAGATTCCCCCCCCCCCCACACACACACATACACTTACATCTCAGCCTGATCTCCAGTTGCCGAAGACAGGCATAGGCCCTGATGCAGAAGGTTGGCCATCCAGTACAGAGTATGTGAGCAGTCCCTTACAAAAGTCCCCAAATGTCAGTCACTCCAAGGTTACAGAAGAGCTGGACCATTGGCCCAACTAGCCCAATATCCTGTCTTTCGGCAGTGGCCAATGCCTGATGCCCCAGAGGAAGTGAGCAGAGCAAGGAATCATCCAGCCATCCATCCCGTCATCCACCCCCACCTTCTGGCAGTCCGAGCTTTCCCGCAGCTGTGATTGCACCCCGGACCCTCTGGGCTAGTCGCCTTTGAGGGACCTCTCCTCCAGCAATAAGTCAGCACGTCAGGAAGGAGTGAGCTGCACCCAACATGGAGTCAGTCCCTTAGCAGGTGGTCCAGAGAGGACGCTCATTTTCTCAAGGGCCAAACACCTCTCCTCCAAACGTCTTTCCCTCTGGAGCAGGGGACAAGGCAGCAAGCTCCAGTGCTTCGAGGGCTATTTAAGGCTTCCCAGAGCCTGACTGAGGCCAGAGCCTGCATCTCATCTCAAAGAGGCACTTCATTGCCTAAGGCAGCGATTTCCCAAGAGTGGGTCGTGACGCAGGCCTGGGCTGCAGACTAAGGCACTAGGTCACCTTGCTCAGCACCCAGGAACCCCAGTGGCTAACTAAGGCTGGGTCACATTCCACACTAGGAAAACCCTTGGCCAATCCCTGCCTGTTCTGTCACCTTGCCATGCCCCAGAAGTGGCCAACTGCAGGTCTGGCTCCTAGGCAGCAAGGGCATGGGTTCCCCACGCTGCCCCTGCCTAAGCACCAGCTCTACTCCCCCATGGACCAGAAGCCAGCCAATGGGAGCTGGGGAGGGTCAATGCCTGCAGGTGAGACTCATGTACAGCGGCTTGCACACCTCTGACTGGGAGCCAGACCTGCTGCTGGGGCACAGCGTGGTCCATGGTGCCAAGACAGGCAGGAAGCCTGCCTTCGCACCTCTGCTGACCAGAAGCCATGAGAGATAAGCCCAGGCCACAATCCTGACCCAGCCTTAAACCCCTCCAAACCCAGTCTTCTGGGCCCTAAATCTTCATCCACGGCACTCTCTCATAGCCTGCATCACCAGCCTGACCCCTTCCTGCACCCCAACCCCCTACACCATGAACCCCTCATCCCCAACCCCACAGCCCTCACCCCCTACACTAACTCTCCATCCCAGCCCTAAACCCTCTTCTGCACCCCAAAGCCCTTATCTCCAGCTCCACTGCATCTCAGGCATCAATTTTCTTCAATTGGGTCACCAGGAAAAAAAAAAAGTTTGAGAACCACTGACCTAAGGCACTTTTGGAAAGAATACTCGGGGTCCCGCGGCAGTGACTCACTGCAAAGCAGAGTCATGCGACGCCTTTAAAAAACTGGGCCGAAAGGATGAAGCAGACCAGGACTGGGTTAGGGGACGAGAAAGACTGTCCCAGGTGCTGGGTCAGCTGAGAAAGGCAGTTCCCGCACCAAACGCTCTGGAGGAGCCGGGCGGTTGTGTCAGGGTGTACGTACGCGGCATAGGGAATTGCAGCGGGTTCTACAGACCCACTACTGGACATGTCCACCTGCCCTACAAAAGCCACTTGAACAGCCTTCGCCTTGGGAACCCTGCTGCTCCAAGGGCCTACTCTGCCCTCCTCGCACACTCACTCCCTGCCTCCTCTAAGCAGTCACAGCTGCAGGGAAGGGTTATGCCCTTTCCTCCGGGCCGCCACACAGGAGGAAGGAGCTGATCCCCGCGTTTATCTGTTGGTTCTTGCAGGGTTCCTGTGTTCTTTCCCTTGTTTGTTCATCTGCTCAGCAGGCAGCCTGGGTCCTATAGAGACCCGCTGAGAGGCGTGGGATCAACGGACAGCCCAGGGACTGAGAACTTTTGCCTAGAACAGTCTCCCACTCGTTAAGGGAGGGGCCGTAGGTCCCTGCAAATGGGATTTTAGAGGAATGCATGGTTGGGTAACGGGCCCAACAGGGAGGAAGTTGAGGTAGAGAGAGACTTCCTTCCGCATCTGGGTGATCACGTCCACATTAAACACACACAGGCACCAGTGACATGCTGAGACATTCCAAGGAGCTTTTCCCACTGGCGCCACTGCTGGTCTGAGCAGGTCATCTGCTCTCACCCAGCGCTGGGCAGCTACAACAGCTATGGCACACGACGAAGAATTCAAGTGACCATGCAGCTTCTTCGCCATCTTTCCCGGCGGGGCCAGGCTATGCTCTTTGTACCGAGGCGGGGACGCCGCACTGCTGCTGAGCACACAAGAGCTCAAAGGAAGCCAGCTCACTTCTCACGCCCTGGCTGACTTCACAAGGGTAACTTAGGTGAACCAACCACCAGACAGAAAGTGACCTGGAGTCACGGGACAGCTACGTCACTGGAGCATACCTCACAGGTTGCGCTGTGCAATTAAAATGCCATTGCTTGCTGCTACTGTCCTTAGCCAGGCACACATGCTGGCTGGTGAGACCACAGCCATTCACACCAACAGCATTGCTACATCGGACTACATAGGACATCGTGTCCAGCTCATTTGACCGGCGGGGTCAGCAGTGACACCATTTCACAGACTCACAAGAGCCAGGGCTCAGTCGGGTGTTGCCACAAAGCCAGGACTTGAACTACTGTGGCAGAGCACAGCCAGAAAACCCAGTGTGAAGGGGTTTAAAAAAATACCAAGCTTTATTTTAAGGAAGGGCACAACTACCAAGGAACCTCCTCCAAGCTCAGGTTCCTCCTGCAATTGACTCCCAGCTGGAATCCAGGGAGTTTTATAGAGGACTTTCCTTCCCAGAAGACTTTGCAGAGAAGGGAAATCCCTCCTCTCTGCCTATGGGAGTTAG